AGGGGGTCACCCTGCATATCGCTAACCCAGGAAAAGATCCAAATTCAGAACTCCAAGTACAGTTTCTCCTGAATGAGTATCACTTTTGCACATTGTAAAGCCGAAAAACCAAGTCCCAGCACTGTAAGCCGAGGACCATCTGTATTTCATATTTGAGAGTCAAACCGAGGTCCTCGGCTCCAGAATCTAAGTTCTTAACAATGACACCAAAATGCCACTGGAAATAAGTTCTCAATCCCATGTCTGCCTACAATGACTTTCTTTTAAAAAGCACATAATACAAAATATATTTTCTGCACTAAGAAGATCAAAATGTTCAACTCTTCTAGATATTTGAGGGCTGTCATCTGCATTCTTACTTGATTCCTTTTCATCTCCCTTAAACTCTTACACATTTTTTTTTTCAAGGAAAGTAAAATCTCTTTGGTATGTCATCTGTTTGTCTGCTTTATGAGAAAACTTTTTATTGAAACCAGATTCAAGATGAGCTTCTCTCAAGATTGCTTATAGGAATTGAAAGCTTGGTTCCTATCGTCCTGAAGGAACTTTTTAATTCTTTCCATAATAATGTGAGGAAGGCATGTAAACAATACTCATCTTTGCAAGAGTATAAACCTTGTAACTCCAGTGGGTTTTCTTCCTATTCATTCACAGATTGGATGTGTGTGAGTGTCAGTGTGTGCATGTGTGCGCATGCATGTGCACTTAAATCGATGTTTTAGGACATATTTTGTTTCCAATGTTTATCGGAGGTCTCAAAAGTGGTAATTTCTTTCCTGAAGTGGATTTTTTCCCTTCACTTTTACTGCGAAGACAAAGAGTTGGTGGCGTCTCTATCCAGCTCCTTGTAACTTACTTCCTCCTGTTTCATTCTCTTTACCTTCCTCCCTTCCATACTAACTGCTTCCTGGACAGACTTGCAGAGCTTAGAGACAGCTTCCCAGGGAGAGGATTGTTTGCTATTACTTGACAAGTGAAATGGTACTGGCCAATTCCGTGAAATTCTCTCCAAGTCACTGAGTATGTACTTAATTTAAGTTGGCATGAGTGAAAAAAAAAATCTGTTGGCCACGTAATGGTAAATTTCATCTTCAGGCATAGCTGGATCCAGGTATTCAAATTCTATCACGGGGCATTTGTTCCTTGAATCTTTTGGCTCTGCTTTCATCTGAGTTTGTTCTGAGGCAGGCACTTGTGAATGTGAAACCCAAGGCCACCACTTACAGATGTACCCCCACTGGTTTGCCAATCCAAGCATAAAGAATGTAACTCTGTTCTAATGGGTTCAGCAAAAGCCACAGGATTAGTCTAGCTTAGATCATTTTAGGAGGAGATAAGCATTCTAGTAAAGGAAATGGAAGCTGTGGGTGATACACTCACTCAAGTTTGGGGGGCAGACCTTCATTCTTATGGAATGTCCCATCTAGGAAGTCCTAGTTCTTATAAGTTATCAAAAATACTTTCCCCATTCTCTAATATCAAGAGCTAAAGTTTGCATCTGCTGTAATTTCTAAATGCCTTGAGGGCTAGTCTAGATACCTGGATGAAAAGAATTTATCCTTTATTAAAGCAATATATTGGCACTTTTTAACAAGTCTGTCTAGGGACTACATCAAACTAAAAAGCTTCTGCACAACAAAGGAAGTCATCAGCACAATGAAAAAGCAACCCACTGAATAGAAGAAAATATTTGTAAATCCTTTATTCAATAAGGGATTCATATCCAAAATGCATAAAGAACTCAATAGCAAAAAGAAAATCTGATTTAAAAATGGACAGAGAATCTAAATAGACATTTTCCAAGGAAGACACACAGATGGCCAACAGGTACATGAAAAGATGTTCAACATCACTAATTATTAGGGAAATTCAAATAAAAACCACGCTAAGATATCACCTCATACCTGTCAGAATGGCTATTATGAGAAAAAAAAAACCAACAAGAAATAACAGGTGTTGTTGGGAATACTACTTGGCCAGAAAAAAGAAGAAAATCTTGCCATTTGCAAAAACGTGAATAGACCTTGAAGATATGATGCTAAGTGAAATAAGTCAGACAGAGACAAGTGCCATATGGTTTCACGTGTATGTGGAATGTAAAAAACAAAACAAATGAACAAACAAAACAAGACTTGGAGATACAGAGAACAGAGCGGTGGTTATCAGAGGAATCAAGAGGGCTGAGAGGGGGTTCAACTGGGTGAAGGGGGTCAATTGCATGGTGACAGATGGTAACCTGTGGTGATCACTTCATAGTGTATACCAGTATCGGATTATTACTACATTGTACACCTGAAACTAATATAACTCAATTTTTAAAAAGTCTGTCTTTGGGAAGATTTTTTTTTTTCCTAAAGACTTTTTCTCTGAGTGTAACACTCTTACTTACCACTAGCTCTTTCGGTTCCTGGCTGGAGAGTAAGGAAGAGAGGAAAAAGGGAAAGAGATTGGCTGATGCTCTCGGCATTTTGAAAAGCCCTTCCTTGTTTTGAATCTCAGTCTCTGCCTTTTTGTCAACTGTTTCCTCTTCTCCTGGCATGGACCGTCCGCGCGATTCATTTATATTCACTGTGATGCTTCAGCTGCCTGCCTGGCTTACTTGGCACCCTGACACCTCCATCTATCACTTCCTTATTCCCACTCTCCCTCCCGCCTTCTCTCCCTGAGTACAGTGTTTACCACGATTATGAATTCCTAGAGCACAGGAAAAGCTAGAGAAGAAGAGCTAGAGGACATACCCAGTGCTCCTACAGGGTGACTTCCTTGGGATCTGAGATGGTGAGGAACCCCTAGTGCTTGTCACTGGCCTCTGAACCATCTCTTCCGTGCTCCTCAGCAATGAGCATTCTACATAGAGATCCGGCTCTCCCTTTCTCTCTCTCCTTTTTGTCTGGTCCTGACTCTAGACACTGAGAGATACCAGAGTTGGGCAAAAACAATTGCTAATAAAAGTGTGTACCTGTGTGTGTGTGTTTCTCACACATATTAACGAGCAATATGAGCAGAGCAAAAGATTCTCCCCTTTCTCTTTTTGTCCTTTTCTCTGTTTTCCTGCAAACAAATTGTGAAAGTGATCTGCTGCAGGGCGCCTGGGTGGCTCAGTCAGGGAAGCGTCTGCCTTCGGCTCAGGTCCTGATCCCAGGGTCCTGGGATCGAGCCCCGCATCGGGCTCCCTGCTCAGCGGGGAGCCTGCTTCTCCCTCTCCCTCTTCCTCTGCCCCTCCCCACCTCTCGTGCTCACTCTCTCTGCTCTCTCTCTCTCAAATAAAGAAATAAACAAAATCTTTAAAAAATAAAAATAAGAAAATAAAAGTGACTGGCTACAGCTGTATAAAGCAAAACACAATGCTGGCAAAGGGGTGGGAGAATCCTTAAATCATAGTCTCTGTCAATTCTTAAGCATCTAGGGGCGCCTGGGTGGCTCAGTTGGTTAAGCGACTGCCTTCGGCTCAGGTCATGATCCTGGAGTCCCAGGATCGAGTCCTGCATCAGGCTTCCTGCTCGGCAGGGGGTCTGCTTCTCCCTCTGACCCTCTTCCCTCTCGTGCTTTCTATCTCTCATTCTCTCTCTCTCTCAAATAAATAAATAAAATCTTAAAAAAAAAATTCTTAAGCATCTACTACAGAAAAGACAGTGTGCCAGAGTCGTTGCATATGTCTTTTCCCTTAAACATCCCAGTAATGCTGCAAGGGAGCTGATCCATTCCCATCTTATGTACGAGGAAGTTCAAAGATTTTTTTGTGATTTGACCAAGGTCACACAATTTATCAGCAGAGAATCTTGATTCTTTAACTTTCATTCCAAAATTCATGGTCTCTCCTTTTTTCCTGAATATTGCACTGCTTTATAAAAGGCACCTAGGAAAGAAAGCAGTTCAGTGAGACCCATGCTGAGGTCAAAGCCGAAACAGCAGGATGCTGGAAGCAGTTCCCCCCCTCCCCCCACCGCGGAGGAGGAGGCGGAGCCCACTTCCACATGCAGTCCTGGCGCTAACCTATGCCTCTGTTTCCATGCTGGCCAGAGGTCCAATTTGTGGCCCTGTGTGGACGCTTGCCCTTCCAGCCTTCAACATGGAAACTTTCTGAGTACTACTTTTTAAAATCTTCCACCAGCTTAGGCTAATACAGGCCTGATGGTAAGACAGAGCACAAATGTCGGAGCCGGGTCTCTGCCCATACCCAGACTCTGCGACTTAGCGGCTCACCAGGCAGCTGTGGGGACGTGGACCAACCTCTGTGGCAGCCACTTTTCTCACTTGGGGATAATGATAACAACTAACATGCATCAGGCACTGTTCTGTCATGTAATCTGCATCACAACATTAGGAGGTAAGTTCTACCATTTGCCTCACTTTGCCAGAAAATTGAGGCACAGGACAGTTAAGTAACTCAGATTCCAAGAGACAATTTAGCTCAGTGGTTCTCATATGTGAGTGATTTTTGCCCCGCCCCCACCACCCCAGGGGACATACGGCAATGTCTGGAGGCATTTTGGATTGTCACAATTGGGCGGGGGGGGGGGTGGCTATTGGCATCTACTGGGCTAAGGCCAGGGACGCTGCTAACCACCCATAGCAAAGAATGATCCGGCCCCAAAGGTCAATAGTCCCGAGGTGGAGAAACCTTGTTCTAGCTCCAGAGCCCAAGCTCCTGACCACTGTGCTGCCTCCCCGATGAAATCACGACAATTTGCTTCTCATGAGATTCCTCCAAAGCTCCCACCGGAAAAGTAATACGAGTCACTAGTACAACACCTGGGATGTGCCTTCCGCCAACCGGCTGTCCTCCTCCGTAACCGCCCCCCGCCCCCCGCTTCCTCTCTACCCAGAAGAGCAGGGTCAGAGGAGTTCTAGATAACCAAGTTCTGCTTCACAGAGTGAGTGGACAACAACAGAGCCCCTGCTTCATCATGGCCTCTGTGTATAAAACGTCTGGAGTCCATTATCCTTCCTTGAATTTCCTCGCCGGGTTGAATAACCGCTGTTTATGTTTGTGTTTACAGTCGACTTGGGAATAAGTGTCAAGGAGGATAATGTGGCCACTTCTTCCCCCAAGACAATGGAGATCAGCGCTGTTGCAGATGCCAACGGAAAGAATCTTGGGAAAGAGGCCAAACCCGAGGCACCAGCTGCTAAATCTCGTTTTTTCTTGACACTCTCTCGGCCTGTACCAGGGCGTACTGGAGACCAAGCCACGGATTCATCCACTGGATCAGTGAAGCTTGATGTCAGCTCCAGTAACACTCTAGGGAACAAAGAACCAAGTGAGAGTGTGGCACTTCCGGTAGCAGCTGCGCTGGGCCACGACCCACATAAAACCCCAGGCCAGAGCCCGGCCGGGGACGGAGGCTTCTCTGCCCCTTGGGGACCAGCGCCTGTCTCACCTGAGTCGGGAGGAGTGGCCCCCTCCAAGCCTAAGGACTCCAGCTTTTTGGACAAATTCTTCAAACTGGACAAGGGACGGGAAAAGGCACCAGTCAACAGCCCCCGGGAAGCCAAGGGCGCAGGGCGTCAAGACCAGGCCCAGGAAGTTTCCGGATTGTCCAGGCCATCCGACGATGTCCCTGCAGAGAGGGTAAGTGCTGGACAGGGGCAATCCATTTTGTGAACACCAGCTCAGGGTGGCGGGGGTAGGCTCCGATGGGCTAAGACAATGGCACCAAATCGCTCGGCAGTCACCAAGGGGCCCTGACAAGGCATCAAGCTGTCGACCCCTCTAGAACAAATAGCACATTGTAGTGGAGTGTCCCCCATGTTCCTGTGGGCGGAAACATCTGTTTGAAGAGCAATAACAGCTGTGACATCTGCTTTATGTAAAAGAAGAGAGGAGGTGAGTTACATACAGATGAATTCGTCCTTCCATTTATCAAAAGATGGAGGAAGACAAGTTGCATTTATGATCAATGGAGTCTGGAGGGGAAGGCGTTAGCAGAATAAAAATGGTCCCTAAAAGACTTCACTGCCCTGTCTGGTCTCAGTAGGTTGTTCCCCATTCCGTATGTTTATAGGCTTTCGTTGGAATACATTTCATTTCTTCTTTTTAATAGCCTGGATTGATCTTTAACTATCTTTTGCACCAAAGTGTGGGTTTAAATAAAGAGCTTTTACAGCTCTGGGCAGACTCTTTTATGTACTAATTATTTTCCAACAAGCTGGAGTAATATCTTTGTAAAAACTAGATATTTTTTTCAGGAGGTATCTGGAATCAGCTGCTCCACCCCTCACCCCACCCCCACCCCCGCACAAAGAAAGGCAGGTTCTTTTGATCTTAAAAAAGAACATTGGCTTTTTATCTTGAGAGAGTTTGTTTGTATTTGGGCCGAGAAAGGAACTCCTCGAATGAAAAAGGAAGTAAGAGTTGATACGGTGTATTTTAAGGTACTTTTTTTAGTCACTGGACTTTTAAATAACAGTATTTTTCAAAAATTTGGGAATGCAGTTACTCATTGAGGTTAGAAGCAGGAAAAAATTAGAGGGGCTGTTTTTCATTACAGGGTTCTATATCATGGCTGTTAATATAGTTGTCTTAATAACAACTAATTGCATTCCCTGTTGCTAATAACACTGGCTGTCATTTATTGTGCACTTACATTATAGCAGGCTCTGTTCTAAACACCGTACATCGATTATTCTCCTTAAAGAAACTGAGTATCACATTAGTCTGCAGCTTCAATGCACCAGCATGGTGTCAAGAATTATATTTTACATGTTAGGCACCAGGGCGCCTGGGTGGCTCAGTTGGTTAAGCGACTGCCTTCGGCTCAGGTCATGATCCTGGAGTCCCGGGATCGAGTCCCACATCGGGCTCCCTGCTTGGTGGGGAGTCTGCTTCTCCCCCTGACCCTCTTCCCTCTCGTGCTCTCTATCTCTCATTCTCTCTCTCTCAAATAAATAAATAAAATCTTTAAAAAAAAAAATAAATGTTAGGCACCAGCTAAACATTCTGGACAGTTACAACTGGGGAAAGATAATCAGGCTTGTGTGTTCAGGCTCTTAATCTCAGCATTCTGGCTGTTTCTGTAAATTTCTTCTCCAAGAACTGCTTTTCAGATTTTCTTTCAAAAGTTTAAAAAATTGTCCTTCAAATGCCCATTTCCCTGAATGTACCAGTTCAGGGCCAACTGAATAGCTTTCCGTATAATTCAAAGTAGGTCTTCAAATGCATCCAGGCATCACATCTTTACTGGGTATGACACTGCCAGGTACACGTGAGACGGGCTACAGAGATGGCCGGGACAGAGCCCTTGTCCTCAGGGACTTTGTGATCCTATAAGAGAAGAGGTACAAAACCCCTGAGATCCTTGTGCGGGGTGCCAAGTGCCCTCCCTGGGGAGGCCGAGGGCTGCAGAAGATGCTCAGACACAAAGAGAATTGGCCTCACTGGCTCGGGGAGCATTCCATCAAATGTATAAACCTGGAGCTGGAAAGTTACTTGTCTTGGGGCTAGAAACTAGTCATCAATATTCATGAATATGTGAGAAACTATTTACTGCTTGATTCTGAGCAGAAACTCTTGAGTTCTCATTATTGGTCATGGATCCTGAGGCCATTGGGAGGCTATGACTTGGTGAATAGTTACATGTTCCATTCACTTGGGCATCCAAAGCCAACCCATTGCCCGAGTCAGGAAAAGATGGAGTTATTTATGGGAAGAAGATGAAGGACTGAGCTTTACTATCTAGAAGTCTAGTGACTTCTCCAGATCCCCCACCTTAATTAAGAAAAACAGGTTAGCATCTGATACCTGACCCTTGAACGTTTTTAACCATAAAACCCCAATGCAATCAATCCATTCCCATTCTAAGAAAAGCAAAGAACAGTTTAGAGTTGTACTTTATCAACCCAGCTTTTTTTATTAAAGACTCTTAGGACCGGCACCTGAATTGAGTGGAATGAGTTCCAAAATGAGATTTGATTCAGAAGATGGGGGGTTATGTTGGGAGCATGGCAGGTTTCTGATATCGTCAAGCCTTTGGGCGATATTTTAAAGTTACCGGGACCTCTCAGAAGACCCCCAAGTTGTAACTTATCCTCCTTTGGGAAAAAGTGAGTCCGCTCCCTTAGATTCACCAGTAAAGTTTGCATTTGTTACACTACAAATGTCCATGTTTTTATTGGTAGTATCACTGGAATCTGAATATTGAGTACCCACTCTGTACTATATGCATATAAAACATGGAAAAGCCAGGAAGTAGCCATTTATTGTCTCTGTTAGTCTGTGAACTTGTGGATATTCAAGTACATATACCTGCAACGCTTTTAAACAGAAACGGCCTTCTGATTATTGATGTTCCTCATCCGATCCCTGCCTGCGTGGTCTGTAGTGGGCAGGGGAGGGGGAGAAATCAATTGTTCCATGAGTGTAATGAGAGAATCCAGTCCTCAGAAAATAACATGAATAAAACTTCTCCATCAATGGCTTTCTTGGTGGGAGTACCGCATTATGCGGAAATGGCCGTCAATGTATTGATTCAGAATTCTTAGCGTAGATTATGCGCTGGGCTCAGCCCTGTGTCAGCTGCCCCTTCTCTCCCACTCACACAAACCCTTTCCCCCAGTCTCACTGCATGCTTCTTCCTGGGTTGGAATTCCAACCGCAAACCTGCAGAGCTGTGAATTGGGAGAAAGATGCCACCATTTCATTCTGGGAGAAGCACACAAATCTTCTGTGTTTTCAGAACGACAATCTTATTTTTGTGCCTCATAAAACTACATTCAGAGCATAGCATAATTAAAACAAGGGCAGAATTCATGAACAAATGAAGCATTTACTACATAGGCCAAAGAAAAGATAAATTATATGCCTGAAGGGTTTCACTGAGCTGTGATTCACACAAACCAACATGTTGGCAGGGACGAAATTTTTTTTTTTTTAATTTTTCTAGCCCCTCAACAATTGGACCAGAGCTATAAGATATGCATTTAAGAGATTCATTGCAAAAAAATAAAAAGTTACATAATGAAAATTTGGTCTTTATCCGTTAAAAAAAAACAAACACTACATGCCTGTTGTCAACCAGTAATTCCAGAAGCATCTTTGAGTTGGGGGAGGGGGAGGGGCTTAACCTGTTACCAAGCTGATTCAGGAGATTTAAACAAGAATATGCCTTTCTTTAAAAGTTTAACTAAATTCTCCAATTATTATTTAAACACCAACCTTGGCAAAGCATTTTAAAGTAAATCCCATTCTAGTCCTTCAAAGATCATATCATCTAGTGAGAGAGGTAATTTTTTAAAGGGACGTTGTGAGAAGTGACACCGATCCTCAAATTCATTCCGACTACAGGTATTAAGAAAAAGACTCCGTGTTTTTGCTTCCTCGTATCCTTTTCTCCCTTGAACGCTTTTATCCTCCACGAAAACTGTTCTTGTCGAAGTGGCCATGATGTCGCAACTCCCCGGGGCCCTCACCATGGCCGCCAAACCGGGGATGTCTCAGTCCCGTCCTACCGGCCTTGCCAGTCACATCAGACACCCTTCCTCACCTGGTCCCTCACCGCCCCCACACTGCCCGCAGTTCTTTAATCTCCTTTGCTGGATCTTATCCTCAAAGACTGGGGAACCTTGGAGTTCCCCAATCTTCAATTCCTAGACATCTTCTCTGACTACACTTACTTCCGTAGAGACAGCCCCAGTCCCAAGGGTTTAAATACAGCTATCTGCTGACAAGTCCCAAATTCATGTCTGCAGCCTAGATCCACCCCCGAAGTTGAGCCTTAAGTATCCAGCTGCCTCTTGACATGGGTACTTGAATTTCGACATCTCCATTTGAAGGTTCGCCCAACATGAGCAAAACTGAACTCCTCTCTCACACCTAACAACAAGCAACAGCATGCCTACCTGTGTCATCCACAGGCTTCCTCATCTCACTTAATGGCAACTCCACCCTGCCCCTGCTATTTAGTGGTAGAAATGGAATTAAAGAACCAAGATTTCCAGAATCCTACATGGTGTAAGGTAGGGAATTAAAACATAAGCATTGTAGTCAAGTAGCTTAAGGTTTCAACTCAGCCTCTGTTGCCTACTGGCTGTGTGACCGTGGACAAGTGACTAAAACTTTCTGAACCTTGGTTTCTTTATCTGTAAAATGGAGATATCAATAGTGCCAAGCACATTTTCCCATTATTCACACTTGTAAAAGTTAAAAGAGATAAGCCATGTAGAAAACTCAGCACCGAGACGCTGCATTTTGAGAAAAAGAAAATTCAGCTATTATTAGCATCATGGTTTTCCCCCCATTAATCAACATTTTTGTCTTTTTACTCTGCCCTTCCATAGTTCTCAACCGAAGCTCACGGAGACAGCACTGTTGAATCTATTTTGAAACCGATGTAGCTTTCAACCCAAAGTCTCGATTTGAGTTAAAGGAAACCAAAAGGTGCAGGAGTTATAAAATTATTTGAGCAAAAATAGAAGTTCAGTGCCCTTGCCTGCAAGCCATGGTTTCTCAGTCTGACATTCTTCGGTCTCCACCGGCTTTCTTCTGTGTTTCCAAATGTATTTGCCATTATTCGCTTAAAGGTACCCAGTCAGAATGCCCCCCATGTGACCTGCGCAGATGCCACCTTCTTCCCC